ACACTGAACAGTCAGTGTTTGCAGCTGTTCTCCGTTTCAGGACACAAGACATTTATATCACATTGATGTTGGAGACAGTGAATTAGGCACATTGAAAACAAGTGATTTCAGTGATCTCACAGATTGTGGCTAAGTTCCTTCCATTCTCATTGCTGAAAGCTTATCCTCTAATAAGTAATTCCCAACACATCTTGCAATAGGAAGCATTCATGAATGAATGCATTAATAAATGTTTCCTATTGCAGGGCCCACCGGAAATTCTTTATAATACTTGTAAGGAGTTAATAGACCTTCATTAGCTACATTAAAAAAAATAATTTGCTTATTCTGAAGATACTATTCTGCCCCTTTTCAAAATATCACAGCAGACAACTAAATGTTAGCATGAAACAGAGCCAATGACCCTGTATGTACTTACCATGTACCACATGCTTGGCCACTTGGGGTCATTGAAATAAGTGGATTGGGTACCACCAGGTTTATAATCCCTCTTTATCCTTCTTTTTACCACCTGCTGTTGTATCCACTCCACCTGCCAACCAGCAAAACATATGGAAAGTGTTAGGGTTCCATGGAGATTATCAAGAAATGTGTGAAATCTTGGGAAGTTTCCCATTACCATAGTCCAAGACATATTTCATGTTAAAGAGTTCATTTCGGCAGTGGGAATGTACAGCTCACCTTGGCATACTGTTCACTAAGGAATACGTCCAATTTATTTAGTGTTACAAATCTCCCTGAACAACTGCTTAAGTCCCCTGCTAGAAGGACTTAATTGGCTATCACCTTTTGAATGTTATTATTTTTATTATTTTTCGTTATTAGACTAGTGCTTCTTTCAAATTTATAAAACCAGTTACTTTTACAAAATATAACAGTACATTACAATGAGAAATTAATTAAATTTCTGACAGCGTGGGGTTTTTTATTTTTATTTCTTTTTTATTTTTATTTAAGTCTGTTCCTGAAAAGAAAAACATTCAGAAAAATATTCAAACATTTTGCTTGACCAGTATCTAAATCACCTTCACCACTTGGAGTGAAAAAACAATATTAAACTGTATTTTTAGCAAAGTGACTCTTTGTCAAGGTCCTCTCAGCCAGGCATGCTGGAACTTTATTTTATACTGGGAGAAACGCCTGGGTACTGAGCAACAGGTCAAATTACAACAACAACAACAAAAGATCTTGAAATAGGAAAAGAATTATAAGGGTTAAAAATCTAATTCTGAAAGTTGTACTCTTGTCTGTCTGACTCCTCTTCAAAGATTCATGACACATCCAGAAAGGGCGACACCAAAAGTGACATCAACCTTAGAGCAGACAGGTCTCTGCAGTTATTTCTGCATTAGCTATTCTAAATGGGAGTGAGTTTCTATAAATGTAAATAATATAAACCATCCACAGCAAAATTCAAGTTATATTTGCACACGTCTAGCTTCCTGACAGCTCATATTTCTGCTGAATTGTTTCATGGGATATAACTATAAAAATTCAATTCACCTCTCTCCAAGCAAGACAGTCATTTCCTACTAGCAGCCAACTCTGCACCTTTTATTTGTACTGTTTATGAATATCTGTGTATGTAAACAAAAATACAGATATATAAAAGAAGTTTACTTTCAGGTCACATATTTTTTTGTCACTTGGTAGAGATGGTATTAATGTTTTCCTTTAGCAGACTAATCTCTCTACTGCGCATCTACAACTCAGCTTCAAATCCCTAGACAGACACAGGTCCATTGACATTAACAGAAATTTTGCTTGAGATCCATACCACGCCTATCTTTACCAACTCTACCATACCACTCTGGCCTCTGCTTCTTGGTCAGATAAAAATACAGGAAGACATCCCTGAATTTGGCATGAGAGGATTCCTAGGACATTCCTTACAGCGGTTGGCAAGGCTTCATGGTTTTCTTTATAAAGAAGAATTTTTCCCCTTCCCAAGAATTAACTTCAGGGTCAAGAGAAGCCTTCTAGAGAAGAAATTATGCACTCTAAGAATGCAGACTATCAGGTAGTGTTCACTCTGAAATCCGGTTCTCTATTAAATCTTCTAGGAACAATCACAGATCCCTTTCCACTTCTGAGAGAATTGAGAAATTTGCTGGTGTGCCTTTCTCTCCTGGTTACTGTGCTCCTCTTTCAGCTGAGGCTGAAATGCATCTTGATGGATGCCCTCTCAAGAAGCTAAGAGCTGAGTGACCCGTTCAGATCTTCAGGTCCCTTCAGCAGGGGCAAACACCTAATCAGTTTTAGGGGCCATTTGATGTAACAAAGTCTGGAGGCCTGTAAGATGCACAGAGTATATCTGGGCAAAGGCAAAAGGAGGGAGAGCCAAAAGACTTTGATAAGCACTAAACCTTATGGCTGCTTTAAAGTGCGACCAACAACCCTCTTAACTAGACCTATCCTCCATGACAAAGGCTCATTTATTACTGATTTATAATGAACGCTACTTCCTTGTCACTTGCTGCTAATATATGCTTTCTTTTCCAGACCCTCACAACAGAAGCTTGTTTTTCTTCAAAGTTTCTTTCCTTGCAGGTAGCCCAGACCTCCCAACGCATCTGAAGCCAACTGAGAGGCATCCTATGCACCATTTGATCTCCGACTCCGCAGCTGCCTGGATTGCCATAGAACATGGACCTCTCTTCCTCTATTATTAGTATCTACCAATCAATAACAAAAAAGCTTCAACAGGTCTGAATAAGCAACCATGGCTTTCGGGGCTTATAAAGATCCACCTTCCAAGCCTTATTACGAGATTTGGATCTCAGGGTTAGAAACATTTTCAACTGAGTGAGAGGTCTCAGGCTTCTAAGCTGCAAGAGTATTTACATGAGTATGTTACCATGTTGAGAAAGTTAAGTCAACAAATTTCAACACTGCACAGGCCAAGAGCATACAGAGCACACAATGCCATGCATGGTAACTCATTACGAAAACTCATTCATACCTTGAGTATGCAGGGAGGAGTTACAAGTGCCTACCACCAACACAATCTGAGAATCTGATCGTAGACAGTGCCCACAGAGAAAAAATGAGATAGACTCAGCAGAAGATTAAACTTTCTATCATTACTACTTCTGATTTAGATGCATGAACATTAATGGAAGAAGGTAGGCACCAACACTACTATTGCCTAGAGGAGCTGTAAATCAGGGACCCAGGGCATCTAATCTGGCATTAGGGACTCCTGTGCATCAAAGGCTCCTATAAGAACTACCATTAGCAACTGTGAGAAATTTTTGAAAAACATCTTGCTTTTATAAATGGAGCCAGAGGAGTGTAAAATATTCCAGGAGCTTGTGCAACGCACAAGTTTAAGCAGAACTTCAACAATCTAATACCATGCTATATGGATAAATGAAAGGGGTTTTCCTGACAAGACAAATTGCAAAACTCTTTAATATTCACTGTGAAAATATGTTGTCTCCATTTATTTCTTGCCTATTTAGCCACAAATATCTGCTGACCATTAAAAAGACTGAAACGTAAAGGCAGCATAGTACTTGTGGAGACTGATACACGCATACATTGATGCCTCAAAAAACCACCCAATTAATTCCTTTTCTCTGTTTCCTTTATTCCAGAAAACATTATTGATAACACTTATCAGTCATTTAGGCCAAGCAATCATAAACACTGTGTAACTGCACAATTCTGGTTTATTAGAATAATAATTTGACACATAAAGAATTTTGTATATATGTGGGTATTCATGTACATGTATATATTTGTACAAGAGCTTGCATCAACTGAGTCAATCTGTAAACTTGTAGTATAGTAGGTGGTTAGATTTTAGTAAGGTATGGATAAATATTTTTCTTTATCTTATCTACCGTCTTTCAACAAAAAAAAAGTGAGTGACTGTACTTCAGATTATGTATCTGTCGCAGAGCCTGCCCCTATTACATGCTGGATGTTGCCCACAATTCTTACTTCCTCAGCTCCAGGCAAAGTTAGGGAAAACATAAAAAAGTAAGTTTGCAGAAGGGCTGTGCAGCTTGCATGATCAGACCCAAAGCCAGAAAAAGAAATATAGCCTCTTGTCTTCCCATAAGACCTAATGACAATTTTATGTATGCACGAAATTACTGTAAGTAAAATAGCCATTTGATTTCATAAAAATAGAGTGGAATAAATGGCATGTTTGCCCAAGTATGCATATGGGAAGATAGTGCAGGTAGCTTTCTAATGATGGAATGGAATGGAATGGAATAGAATAGAACAGAACAGAACAGCATAGAATATTTCAGTTGGAAGGGATCTACAAGGATTACCTAGTCCAACTGCCTGATCAATTCAGGTTGACCAAAAGTTAAAGCATTTTATTAAGGGCATTGTCCAAATGTCTCTTAAACACTGACAGGCTTGGGGCATTGTCCACCTCTTTAGGAACACTGTTCCAATGTTTGACCACCCTCTCAGTAAAGAAATTGTTCCTCATGTTCAGCCTAAACCTCTTCTGACACAGCTTGGAACCATTCCCATGTACCCTACCACAGGATCCCAGGGAGAAGAGATCAGCACCTCCCTCTCCACCTTCCCTCCTCAGGAAGCTGCAGAGAGCAATGAGGTCACCCCTCAGTCTCCTTTTCTCCAAACTAGACAAGCCCTTTGTAAAACATTAGGACTTACTTTGAGCACTACAGCTATCCACATCAGTGCAAGGGGGAAGTCAAAATGACCATTTCCAGTCAGTGACTGTGCAGTGCTATGAGGGAGACAGTGCAGGATGCTAGACAAGGCTAACGTAAAACTTCACAACATACCCAATCACAGTCCTGATTATAGGCTTGTCTGGAAGATTTTTAGCAAACATACTATGTTGAGATCTGCTTACTAACTGTTTTTATTCTGAGGATGTACTGATACAGCCGTCTAGAATATAACTAAAAACATCACAGGAAAGCAATTTTCTCATCTGAGAAGTCAGTGCATAAAATTTGGTTTACAAAAAATATAATTCGTACATAAATAGAATAGCTTACTCCACTGAACATTAGGGTTTGGGGTTTTTCTCTAGCAAGTGAACAGGAAAACTTGAAGTTTAAGTTAAAGTGTACAATCACTGGGTTGTATTAATGAACACAAGGTCAAGAGTCAGCAGTTATTTTAGTATTCTGACATATATTTCCTTTGAGTATCTTATGGGTATTCATCCACATGTCACTGTCAAATGCCTGGTATATCTTGGATTTGTTTGATTCTGTATGAAAAGAGTTCATTTATATAAAAATATTTTCTTTTAAAAAGTGTCTACACTTTCTAACCCAAAGGCCTTGAAGGAAAATCTCTGGAGTAATTGATTATACAGATTCCCATTTCTTGCCAAAAGGAGACTCTGTGCAAACAATGAGGTGCATTCTAACATTTCCATAAAGTCACACTTACTGCAGGGGAACAGTGTACATTTTCCCATTGACTTCAGCTTCGAAAGTTCCATTTCCTGAATGTCTAGAAATCAAAGCCAAGCCAGATTGGAGACCAAACTATTTTTAAAAAAATCACCATTTCCAGTCT